CTGCGGTCCCTGCGGCCGCGGCGGCGGGGGGGGCCATGGGCGACAGTCTGTGTTCGTGCCACGCGAACGACACCCGCTGGGCCACAGCCGGGATGCCCGGCGTGTCCCAGCTACAGCTGCCACCGTCCCTGGGCCGCCAGCAGGCCATGGCCCAGTCCCTCTCTCAGTGCAGCCTCGGCGCTGGGCCGCCGCCCAACTCCATGGGTCTGTCCAACATGTCGTCCAACGGCACTGGGCTGCAGTCGCACCTCTACCAGCCCACTTTCCCCGGAATGGTACCCGCGTCCTTATCCGGGCCCACCAACGTGACCGGCTCGCCTCAGCTGTGTAGCTCCCCGGACAGTGACGTCTGGAGAGGGACAAGCATCGCGTCGCTGCGCCGCAAAGCGCTGGAGCACACAGTATCTATGAGTTTCACCTAGGCCAGCGTTCTCCTTCTGCATCCCGATCCTTATCAACCCCCGGAGAAATAAAAACAGGATTCCCACAGAGACGCAGCTGTGTCCTCACAGACCGGAGGAGACCCTCAGCTGTCCACCATCACCCCCCGCCCCCATTCTTGGCCTTTATTACGCAAAAAGTGCTGGTTCTGTTTAAAGCTATAACTTATTATTTCGCATGTATTCTATTTATTTGTCTATTTAAACTATAACTTATTTGGTTGAAACACTGTTTATTTGGCTCTAGCGTTTCTATCGCAGGGCTTCTTGGTGACCCGACGACTACGGAAGTGAAGAGGAAATGTCTGTGGATAATTTGAAACACTGAACTATAGATGACACTTTTACGTCATTGCGGTCCTCTCTGCTTTACCACATCTCTGAGGAGGCCACATGTACGCACGGTGGAGTGAGAGAGCACATGGCAGACTCGGCAGGAGAGAGGAGGAGGAGGAGGAGGAGGAGGAGAGATGATTGAGTCTGGAAGAAGACTTGACTGCATGTGCTGTCCAGAAGGGGAAAAAATAATAATGAGAAAATAAAAGAAAAATGAGGGAAATACCACGAACTGTCCATGGAAACTGACTATAATCTGTTATATAGGATGTTTTGTGTAGGGGAAACACTCTTGTTCTTATTTGGTCCGTTTGTGATAACTTCTGTTTCCAGGATTATGTCTGTGCTTATTAATAAATATGAATTTATTTAATGTTTGAGCCATTTTTGTTTGGATATGGACATGTTTATATCAAATAAGTGTACAAGGTCAAATAAAATCATTTTCAATTATGTCACTGCCTGAATCAAATATTCTTGTTTTCTTTTCCTCAGTGCCTTTTCCCCAGCATTCCTAAAAGAACAATCAGATGTCCTTTGAGATTATTAACAAATATCAACAAATGATAAATTAACATGAAAACACTTTGATCACGACATCAATTTACAACTTGCCTAGCAACCATTTCGTTCCACCTTCATTTAAAGGAAAATAAAGAAATTAAAGATTTGTATCTTTGTTGATGAAACCCACCTGTATTTCATGTTGCGATTTTCTGTATTATCATCTAATATCATTTCTCATTTCTTCCAGGCATTTTCTGAGGGGTCTTGCATGAAGACATAAGAAGAGGTGTGTATATGTGGGAGAGAATAAATATCTCAATATGTTTTAGAAACAGTTTTAAAAACCTTTTTGCAATATCGAGACACTAACTAATTATAATGTATTTTATTTAGCTTTTCTGCTTTCAAATATTAAGATCACATTCATCCATTCTATCAAAATAGCTGTATTGTTTTAAAAAAACTGAATTTATTTCAAATAGTTCAGATTATATGTTGCAGCGCTGCATGGTTGTGGCTCAGTTAGGCCTGAAGTGAACCACAGGCAACAATGAAAGAATGTTTGTGTTTATCTTTTAAAAAATTAAATATAACAGTAGAACAGTCTAACAATAAATTATGATTATGCTTTTAATGAGGCAATTACATTCTGCTGATGATACATTAAACAGCCGATGATTTTAAATGAAGGGTGTAGTTTTGTAGTGTAAATATTTGACATTCTTCCAGTCTAGTAACTCACACAACAAAGAAAACCAACAATGAACAGCCAGTGTCCAATGGTGTGCCCCACATGCTGCACATGTGACATTTCTTCTCCACACATGGAGCAGACTGGAAGTCCTAGCTCTGAAGCAGGTACGTTGTGTTGTAAAAATGACCTTGATTAGCACTTTAATGGTATAAAATGAAATTAAGCTATGAAAAAAAATTATGACTCCCCAAAGTCAACTCACAAAGTTAAAATCTACTGTTAAAACCCAGAGAAGAAGCAAGGCTAACGGTGTTAGCACGGTTAGCTTGGCCCAAGGCAGCCAAAACCCATATGTTGCTCACTATTGTGGTGCTAAAACACTGCCAAAACACTAAATGTTAGTGCACCATAATCTGCTCAGTATCTTTTATGATGAGTATTTGTCATATTCACAATACATATGTTGTTTTCTTTGTGTATTTTAGGACTGGTTTTGTCCAAGTTTACAGGATTAGAGTCACAGAAAACCATTCACCTACTGCTAACATGCTAAATGCTAGCACACAATACTCTGCCACACGCTCAGCGTCTTTAATGGTTGTTATATCCAGCGGCCGGTCAACTGTTTTTGTTGTTTAATGTTGGAATAGATTTAATCAGGTTTACAAGATTAGGTTTACACAAAAATTCACCCATCTGTGAATCACAGAGAGTTCCATTAAGTAGTTGTGGTGGGAGCTGCCACAGAGTGGGGCTTTCCATTAAGTAGTTGTGGTGGGAGCTGATTGGTGGGTGGGTGCTTCACTGGGATAAAGTTTCTGTATTCTGGTGAGACAGATGAAATAATATAATATAAATGTAATAATTTGTCTCACTAGCATCCAGGTTAATTAGTTTGTGGAAACAGGCAACCTATTTCTCATTGGGTAATTTGTCACACACTGACGAGGTAGCCAATCAGTGACCCTGCTGTTGGTGGGATCATTCTCCCAGAATGCCATGCAGCTGGAAAATGTGGTAGCGCTCCGATGTTTACCTCCTATTTATTCCGCACAAATAAATGAAATCAGTCAATAAACCATCCAAGGGTGAATATGGCTCTCTCTGTCCCAGGTTATGAATGAGAGCTCATTAATTTTCCTCCTTGTGTCTCAGTGTGTCTGGGGGGTGTAGGCTTGCATATGTGTACAAATGTGTACAAGTGTCTGCAGCTTTACAAAAACATGAATTTTTGTTGAATGTTTTTTGGTATTTTCATCACACTGTCACCACCAGCCATGCCAAATAAATAATGTTAAACACACTGCTGCTTTATTGTTTTCAGTATTAAATGTATTTTGTACCTAGCTTTACCTTGGGTCCTACACATAATAATAGTAAAACAATAATAGTAACAACAATTATTATTAATGTTGTTGTTGTGAGCCACTGTCTACACATCTGCAGTGATTTCGCCCCTTGTTCATGTTAAAACAACTCAAATGTTAGCAAAAAACTATTTTCTTTTTCCAAGAACAGAATTGAGCTTATATTTTTTTAGTTTGTGAAATATAAGCACTAACATGCACTAACAGTAGAGCCATTATGGCTGTCTTTGTGATTTTGGTTTATTTTCTGCTGCATCCTTCTGAAATTACAATTAAATTTTGTTCTGACTTCTGTGCTAACATTTTTTTGTTTGGAACAACCCAGATATGACTCAAAATTAACAAAACCACAGGCTTTAACCCCGCAGCTCTGCGTCTGAACAAACTCTAATCTCGCCATTTTCTAGAGGACTTTGTTGCAGCACAGTCACTTTGGGTCACATATCACATAACTGCTGATGAAAATCTCCTGTACATATGTATGTGAAAACAGCGGTGGCTCAACATCTACATTAGGAATCCAAATTCATGAGGACTCTAATTTTATTTGACAGCCAAAGTCTAGCAGTGCGTCCGTGATTGTTATTCCAGATGGCGACGAGAAAATCCCATTTGAAGGTTTTATTAATTTTAGTTAAAAAAAAAGGAAAAAGGTTCGCTGATGCCGTCTTCAGCGTCTCACTGTCGAGGCTGACTGACACCTCACTGCTCCCTCCATTTGTCATTGTTTGAAAAGGTCTTAATTGTATTACATGCAAATGAAGAGATTTGATTTTTGCACATTATCTATTCATAAGAGAAAATGAACACAACATTAGTGGGTCACCAGAGGGAGGAGGAAGGGAGGAAAAGGGGGGGGGGTGTGATCAGACAGAGGGGAGGATGATGCCTAGGAAGAGTGAAGTGGCAGATTTACATGACTGGTTGTGAAATGTTTTGCAGCTTTGATATGATACAAAAAAAGTCAGTGTCCTTAAATCTGCATGTCCAGGAGTGTGTCTTAGAATGAGGATGTTTTTTATCTGAAAGGTCAAGGTTAATCATTAACCTACTGTATGGTAAAACACAGCGGCTACAGTGACAGCCACGTGACTAATTACAATGACAGAGGCTGGAATGATCTCACACCTCTGGTCAGTTATTATACATTCTGGTGCCTTAATACTGGTACAGAGAGCATAAGAATCAGAACTAGAAGGCAGCAGCGTGAAAAATAAATATATATATATATTTTTCACAGATTAAAAACCCCCTGAATAACGTGTCCCAATATTTATGACTGAAATAAAGATGGTGAAAATGGCAGCTGTGGTCACTCTGAACAGCAGCAACAATTACATGCACTGAGTTTCTGATTTTAATGCCAAAAATATATGTCTATGTCTATCTAATGTTTTTAAATCATGAGTTTTTTATCAAATACATTTATTTCCTTGCTTATTAATTTACAGTTTCAACATTAGTCTAATGGCACTAAATGTTGTGATAAATAACTAAATAAAGTAGAAATTAAAATAAAAAAGAAGAAAAACAGAAAGATACAAATTAACAAAGAAAAAAGGAAATTGGTTTGTTGGCTGAAAAATTGTCCATTACTGGAACCCAAACTCCATTTGGTGGTTTTGGGAATGGGAGTAAAATTCAAATAACTGCCTGACTGCAGAATGTTTATTTTGTCTTCAAAAGTTGTGTCTCCTTTCACAGTTTCCCTGTTAAAAAATAAGCACAAAATACATGTATGTAATATTTATTTGCAAATTTTAATATTATGATGTAGAATATGTTTTTAATAATGACTTTTTAAAATGTGTGTCTAAAATTCAAAAAACTGCCTGACTGCAGAATGTTTATTTTCACAAATTGTGTCTGATTAATGGCATACATTTCTGTAAAAGTCAATAAAGATGCTCACGTTGTGTCAGGTGATGTACCTTGACTTTTCCAACAGACTGATGTGATTTGTCACCTGGTGCCTACACATCATCACTGCATTGCTGCTACATGTTAAAGTTGTTTCATTTCTATTTTAAATCCCAGCAGATGCTAGGCCTCTCTGGCTTGATCTTTCTTAAACTAAATTCCTCAAACCTCGGATTTAACTATTTAGTGTAACTGACCTAAAACACTTTTTCTACAGTCTACATATTTGACCTATTCATTCAGATCTGTGACAAGCGGTTAAACAAACAGAGTATCACCCATCCTCACATCTAAAACCCATTCCCTCCACCTCAACCAATCCTTCTCCCTAATCCTCCTCCTTTCACCAGCTGCCCTTGAGCTTTTCTATTACCACATGGAAAGCACCTCGCAGCCCCTGACAAGCGCAGCGGATCGACACTAAATCAGAAATCAGTGCCAGCCGCAGATCTGAGCCACCATGAAGGTCACAGGCCCTACACTGCTTGTCGTCTCAATCAAGGGAGCAGGAGCAGATACAGCTTGGCTGATGTGTTTTTGTGTGTGTGTGTGTGTGTGTGTGTGAGTGTCTGTGTCAAGGAAGACAGAAACTAGAGAACAGTGTACACAGTGATGTTAAAAGGATGTGAAATGTTAGGTCAAACATAATGTTATTAAAATGAAAAAAACAAAACAAAAACAAAAATATGACCATAAAGATGAATAAATAAAAAATATATTTGTAATATTTTTAATTTTCAAAATCATATTTTATATTTAGATCAACATAATTTGAAGCAATTGCCTAACAAATTTGGTTATGTCTGCCTTGTAAGGATCTGGGCATGTACGAGTTCATGGCTTTGTTAAACACTGCCATCTAGCAGCAAAAAGAGTCATTACACAAATTCCAACAGTTAACCTAGTTTTAAAAATAAATTCACTTTCATTCACCTTTGACAATGAAATTTTTTTTTTTAATTTTAATTATTATTAATTGATTTTAGTTTATACGCATCTAATTATTTGTCCCATTATCCAGGTATTGTTGTGTTGTGTACTGGTTCAGTGTACAAGATTAATTACTGTACTGTTACTTGAACTGACATGACATATACAAACATGACATTCCCTAGGGATTTTACACTTATACTTACAATATAACTTTCCTTATTACCATTTCATTATATATGTTAAATATATCCATTTGCTACATAAACGTACGCTGCAAACACACTAAATAATAGGCTATAAAAATAAAACATAATACATTAAAACGAAGAGTGTTCAAGAACCTTTTGCTACAGTAGCTCAAAGATTGAGGCGAACCTAAACCTCTCTTAAAAGTGTTTCCTCCCTCTGCGCCTAGGACTGCAACAGGAACGGTATTTGTAAGACTGACAGATTTCAATATAGTAACGACAAAGTCAACCATCACATGTCCTACGGCAGCTTCCGTAGTCACATGAATGATTTGTTATGGTGCGTAGCTGAAATATTTTTGTTCCTTATTTGTAGCTCTGCTGTATAATTAGTAACACCTACTCTCCTGGTTTACATTTATTTTTGATTTCACCCTCGGAATTGTGTAAATTTGCTGAGAGCGGACGATATGTTTTGATGACAGCGCTTTGTTGACGTCAATGACCGGTAGGATGACAACACACGCCTGTAGCGTTAGCTTATGTAGGGGCTATTTGATAGTCTTTCTATGATATTTCTGCTATGCTAAATATTTGTCTTTTCCCATTAGCTTCTTGTCGTGGCTTCAATAAATTGCTACTGCTAACCGACGATGCTGCGCTGGATCCTCGGTGGCCGTGAAGCCAACAGCTCAGTGGAGGTGAGGTGTCTGCTACTGAAAGCACATGCACTACTACCTCCAGCCTGGTGTGTTCTATCTGCCTTTTCTTTACTTGTCTCTCACTCAAGTGTCTTATATTCAAAAGTAGGCCAAATACTGGACGGTACTGGACAATATTGGATTGAACATAGACATAAAATACGAAATGAAACTTTGAATGTTTTTCCTCAAAATGTCGCGGTCGTCATTGGTAGCAAAATCTAAAGTCAACCTGTTGCTGTAGGATTTCATAATTTGTTTTACGTCGCTATTTTTTTGTGTGGTATTTCTGTTATATGACACGGTTTTCAGCTCTTCTCTTTCACTTTCTCCAGTATTTTTCCTTAAAGCCTCTGCTTAACTGAGGCTGACGTTGTTATTTCATAGTCTCTGCACATCACCTGATGTTGTTTAGAGTTTCCATCCTATCGATAATATATTTATTATATAATACACACATTTAATAACATTTAAATATACAAGAAGAATATAAAATATTATATAATACGAATATAATATGATATATCATATTTTTTTTTCCACTTACCTGTTACTTCCCTGAATTTCACAACATTTTAAATTGATTTATGTCACTCTAAAACCTTAATTTTGTATTTGAGACATTCAGAGATAGGCCTTTTGGGCAGCAGCTGAAAATCTGTTGAATTTATGTCCTAACATGTGATTTAAAGCCAAATTGAAACATAACAAATGTCTCCAACTTTTACTGTTCTACATGTGATTGTGATTAGCATATCTGGAAGAAGGCTATGATTTTAGAGACACAGTTAGAGAAGTAAGGTTGTGATGGTTTGAATCTTTAGACAGAGGAGATGGAGCTTCCAGGCTGAGAAGATTAATGAAGGTAGACACGAAGAGAGATGGTGTAAGAGTAGAGGAGGCAAGAGATGGAGTGAGACCGAAGCAGATGATCTGCTGTAGGACAGGAAGCAGTGGAAACAAGATGGGAACTAAAATAAAAAGTACAATTCAGAAGGTTTTTCAGAATTGTACTTGATACTAAGGTGTTGGAATTCTTCTCATCTCAGTCATCAGTGTTCTGGACTTTGTCCAATCTTTCCCTTTCTCAGTCTGGGCCTCAGCCTTGTTTGTCTCAACACTTTCTCTCTTACATCTGCAGAAAAGCCCAGTGTTGTGCATTGGTGAGGAACAGCCCAAAAACTGGTTCACTGAGCTGCAGGTGCTGAGAGGACATTTTGACATTGTTCGATTTCTGGTGCAGATTGATGACTTCAGGTAAGCCGACCAAAACCCTCTCCCCCCTCTCCTCTTTTCCTCCTTCCTTTCCACCCTCTCTCCCCTCTACCCCTGGCTGGCCTCGATCCCCAGGTGATTGACAGGAGTTCCTCACCTTCTGCAAACTTACAGAGCATGACAGGAGCCCAATCATCATCACTGTGTGGTATCGTGTGCACAGTGCAGTGTAACTGAAGCCTTTCATTGCTGTCCATACACACACACACACACACACACACACTTGGTGGGAGTGTGCTGCACAGCCTCATGCTACAGTGGCTCCATACAAGTGGTCAGATTGGGATTTATAACAGAACTAAGTATGTGTGTGTGTGTGTGTGTCTCAGTAGGTGGGGGTTGCTTCACGCCTGGTCTCCTCCAGTAATAACCTCCTCCTCTGGGTCACGTCCTCTCTGCACACACAAGGCCACAGTCGGAGGCAAAGGGCAGAAAATTCTCTCTGTATTGCTTTTGTGGCCTGAAACTGTATCCTGGACAGTTCCTTCAATTCTCCTTGTATCTCTCTTTTCATCCGCTCATCCTGTCTGTTGATTTTGAGAACAGGCAGCACGGATGACCAGGGGTCGGAGGGCAAGTGAAGGGGTTAAAGCTCCTGGACTGATGATTGTTAAGATTCCTCCAGTGGATCTGAAGCTGCTGGAAATAAGCTCTCACAGAAACACAGTCTGACTAGTCGTGCTGCCCAGGACAAGATCTGCACTATGATACTTAACTGCACTGTCTACACGTCATATTTTAGGAACATTTGTTTTAATTAATGTTTTTTAGATGTAGATAATGTTGGGATATAAGCTGCAAATCAGGTTTCCCTGAGTATGTTCAGTTACCGTATATCATGATAATTAGGACAGGAGTCTGGTTATAATCATCATTTATGCAGTGACAGTGAACAAACTGAATTATTGGTCACATACATTTGTAAGACCAGAAGGATCTTTTTTTTCCCAACAAAATAAAAAAAAACAAACAAACATAATAGAGTGATAAAATGACTTGATGCAAAAGTACAGCTGTCCAGGCATTTTTGTGAGGTTTGGCCCTGCAGACCTACAGCACCAGAAGTGGGGAAAATTCTAAAAGAACATTTTAAAGAACGTGAAATGTTTTATGAAAAAGAAGTGGAACATCGTAATGATACAAGAAATATTAACAAAAGTGAAAATGTAGACACAGGTTAATGTTTACATTTCACATTGATAATAGTATCATATAAACATTAAATGCAGCAAATATGTTTAATACAGTCAGTAAAACTGACATTTCAAAGCCTTTGTAATAACGTTAACTCATACTGTTGTGTTTTTCCAGATGTGCCTCAGCAGGAGATGACGGCCTTATTTTGGTGTGGAATATCGAGGTGAGCTTTTATTCAAGTGTTTCCATGTTTACTCTGGTGTGTGTATGTGTGTGTGTGTGTGTGTGTGTGTAACTGTGGTGTTCTCTTCGTCTGTTAGACTGGGGAGAGGCTGCAGGAGCTGAGAGGCCATTCCCGCCAAATAACAGCCATAACAACACTGAACTGTAACGATGGACTCATGTCCCACACTTTCCTCATCACGGCCTCCTCAGACAGAAGTGTCAGTGTATCCTTCCGACAAAAACACTGTTACAGAGAAAACACTAAAAAGCTCCACTCTCCTCATTTCACTTCTGTGTTTGTAGTACAAATGTATTTCCTCTTAACGTCTCGGTCAGTTGTGGGATCCTGACACAGGAAACAGGGTCCAGACTGTGTCTGACCTTCAGTCGTCTGTAAAGGTAAATGATAAACTATACCTCATTGAAAATATTGTGAAAAGAAGGTGAAGTTAATTCTGTTAACTATATTTTCAACAATATTTAATGTAAACTTTTCTCTCTCTCACTCTCTCTCGCCCCCAGTGTTTGCTGGTGCTGGAGCGTCTGTGTGTGTGGCTCTCTGGTGGAGAGGAGTTGTGTGTGTGGAACAAAGACTTTCAGCTGCAGTGTCACAGGCAGAACCACAGCGACACTGGTGAGACTGAAAACCAAAGCATCTCTTTAATGACCCCACCGCCTGTCGACTCACTGACACGTTTGCACACACACTGGAAACTGTTGAACAATCGTCACGTTTGCTTATTTTGCAGGAATATCTGCTTTGATCGAGCTGCCGAAGAACTGCATAGCTGCTGCTATGGACAAAGAAATAAGTAAGAGACAGAGTTTGGGGATCTACAGCTGGGTTTGAGTACATACTCAATTACTCAGTAATTGAGAAATTACTTTTTTACATTGTCTAGAGTTTTGTGTATAAAGTATGTGCAAGAAAATGCATTAAACTATATGTTCTCCTTCTTCTTCTTCTCCTCCTTCAGTCATTTACCGTCTGACATTTTCCACTGATTCCTCGATGTCATTGTCTGAAGTCTACTGTCTGACCGACCACCAGGACCAGATTCGTGCTCTCATCAATGTTGTTGGTAAAAACCCGAAGATCTTTTTACTGTCAAAGATCATGACTTTAAATGTATTTATAATCCTCACAAATTATTTTGATTGATTACCACTGCCCTATTTTAATATGTATTTTCTATTTAATTTCTTCACATATTTTATTGAAACATTCCTGGAGCTAAAATTTGAGATAAATGAAGTTTTAAATGAAGTTAGACACTCTTACTGTCCCGTCATTTGGACTGTTTTAAGTCTTCAACTGAAATTCTACACGTTACTACACTTTGAATTTCCCTACTAATAATAATAATAATTCTGGTTTCTTCCTCAGACGGAGTGTTCGCAAGTGGATCACATGCCGGCGAGCTGATATTATGGGATGCGGTTGACTGGAACATCCTGGCCTATGAGCACATCCTGTGGGAGGAGTCACAACCGTGTGCCCAGGCAGAGATACGACTGAAAGCTCCCAGACACAGTGAAATGTCCATTCAGCATCTGACGACTAACGGAAAGGTGAGGAAGGCAGAGTAGCTGGAACATGAAGGACTGATGAGAGGCTTTGAGGATGTGTGTTTACTGCCCTGTGTTCTGTAGCTCATCCTTGCAGCTGTGGGCAGTGGCTTGTATGTGTACAGTCTTCTGACCAGAACAGTCGTGGCCTACAGGAAGGTTGCCCATGATTCTAATGTTCTACACACCATGCTGCTGTCTGACAGGTATGAGAAAGTGCTGTCATTCTACAGCTGTTTTTTCTCTTTTATTAAATGTTATATCTTCCAAATTATAATGAATTTTAAAGGCTATGTTGATGCAGAGACACACCTGTCACCACAAGACTCCAGGTTTGAATACACATAGTCCCAGAATTGGTGCATACAGTGTAAAAACTCCAAATTGCTTGTTCTTTCTTTTTAATTTTTAATGGGCTGTTCATTATTACCTGCAGAATAATTTGACATGTTAATGACCAGCAGTCTCACAATTTTATCATTAATGCATAAAGATTTGCTCCACAATAATCCAACACCTTGTTTGACTTGTTGGGGTTAAATATATTAATATGAATTAAATGGTATTGCACTGAGGTAATTTGTGTCTTAACATTTACCCCTTTTATCAAGGTCATTGGTCCAATGATACACTTAGAGTTGGGAGAAACATGCAAGTTAGGATCAAATCATTCATTCTCAATCTCTCTCTCTCTCTCTCTCTCTATATATATATATACTGTATATACTGTATATATGTGTGTATATATATTGTATATACACACATATATACAGTATATATTTGTATATATATATATATATACAGTATATATAGTTGTGTATATATATACACATCCTGTATCTATATATAATTATATGTGTGTGTATATATATATAATTTTATATACATATAGGTGTATATATATCTATATATACATATATAGATATATATACATCCAGTATATATCTTCTTCTCCCTCTCTGTGTCTCAGATGCCTGCTGTTAAACAATTGAAACTAAACAAAATTCTCTCAGAAATTTCTGTCTTCTCTATATATTGCTGGACCCAACAAAGATCATTTAAACTCAATGCCACAGTAGGCCTGGACATGGTTTGTTGCGTGACTGTATTGTTGTATCTAGATGAAGAGCAGCTGGAGATTATGGTCCGAGCTGCAGAGACACTCAGCTGTGGATGTGACTTTGTCTCTGTTGTAGTGAGTTAATGTCCTGCTCTGAAGATGGCAGTGTGAGGATGTGGGAGATCCAGGATCTGCCTCTGCCTGATGAACATGCCTCTGCAGGGGACACACACAAACACGCCCACCAACACACACACAAAAGTATACATGTACTGCTATAGACACATGAAGGCCCACACTCACTTTGTTTGTGGACATTTCATGATAAAAACACTTGGCTCATTCCCAGCACGTACAGTTAAAACAGTTCAAAGAGTGCGGGAGAGTTGTCTGTTCTCAGTCTGTGAGTGTTTACAGTTTTGTACACTGTCCAGATGGACTGTTCTGTTTATCAAAGGAGATTGTATTCTGCTGGCAGAGGTTCCCGTCAGAAGCGGAGCGTCTGCTTTTGAGTTGGTGCCGTCTTTGATGGTTCAGTTGCTGCAGAGTTTAGTTGTTAACGGAAGTACAAAGTCAGGCTATGGATGTGGGCCCTTTAGGAACCCTAAAAATCCACTAAGCTTATTCTGCCTTAATGAAAAATAAATGTTTCAATATATTATTATTATTATGCTATATTATGCACATTTATATTTAATATTTTTTTCAATATATTATTATTATTATTATTCTATATTATGCACATTTATATTTAATATTTGAATGAAAATATTTTCAAAAACATTGTCTTTCTCACCGCAGGCTTCTTTGGCATGTGGACTTTCAGTCGGACAAACAAACAGACTGGGCCTCCGACAAAAAAGGTGATAGAAGTCCCCAACATCAGGACACTGGAGCTGACAGGTGACCTGATTGGACACTCGGGTGCAGTCCAGGTATGATGTAATTATGCAGAAACAGGGCACTTTCCCCCACATAATACCAATCCACCACCAAACTTAATGAAAATAATTTTCATTCTTCAAGATGTTTCTGAGCTTCAGGGAAAATGGTTTGGTCACATGTTCGGCGGACCATCTGCTGATCCTGTGGAAGAATGGAGAAAGGCAGAGCCATCTGCGCAGTCTGGCACTTTTTAAAAAACTGGAGGAGAATGGAGGACTGTGAATGTTGACCTTTGTCTCCAAAGGTAAATAAAGATAGCTGATGATCTAGTACATAAAAAACATGTCTAATGTTTGTTGTATGCATTTATTTATATGTAAAAGTTACTTATCTTTGTACATATGTGATTAAAATATGTAGTATTGTCTGTTGAAATATGCTTGTATATTTATGTAACTGTCTGCGGACAGAAATAAAGGACTTAATTTAACTGATTGATATCTGCTTGGAAGACAATTTTACAACCCCTGTTTCTAGGAAAGTTAGTTCTGTAAATCAGTTTAATATACAAAGTAAAGTTTTTTGGTTCCATGTGTCATGGCAACAGGGATCATTGAGTAGCCCAAGTGTTTTGAACAACAAGAATAGGAAACAAGCACTATTCAGAATGTTTAGTTTATCAAAAAATAAAATAAAAAATAAAATCCAAAAACCTAATTCAAAATGGAAAAAGATATAATCCTGAGTTAAACAAATAACCTGTAACCTACCACAACTAGTTCTTCAGCGTTGTTCAATGTTAAACATTATTGACTAGTGTCATATTTATACTAAATAACAGCTTTAGTGTTTTCAGGAAAAATATTTGAACCTTCTTTTGAGACTGGTTTGTGAACTAATGCTGTCCTCGAACGCCCTCTAGTGGTAAAATAAATATTAAAAACATTGTCTTTTAAATTTAAAAATGTTTTTCAAACTGGACGTCACAAAGGAGTAAATTGACTCCTAATCCTAACCCACAGCAGCACACATTTAATGTTAAGCTTATATTTATTAAAATGCTATTTGAATAGATTGCTTTGTGGCCTCAGAAAAGAGGACATGGCAGTTTTACGTGACAGTGTCGCTACCTGCTAGCGTAGCTATGCAGGTGTATGATCTACAACACATCCGCTACGTCATGTCCGTATACTAAGCGCGGTAAATAACAAGAGAGATGAGTCTCTTTAAATCTCTTCATTCCGCCTCGGGAGCAGATGTTTCCCTCAAACTTAGTTTCAGGAAAGTAGTACACAGTCAAAAACCCCCACCGGCTCCAAAAAACTACGGAAGACGACTGGAGAGGAGAAGAACCTTAAGCCAGACTAAGTAAGCAATGCTGTTTACATTATTTGGGTGTCGTTTGTGGTCCATGTTTTGTGTTTGTGTGTGTATTGGTTAAGTTGTCCTTCCGTCTGTAAAGATGAAGAAACACTGGATTTGACTGAGTGACTTCACCTGTTAAAAAAATAGAGTCATGGAAAATGTTTACATTTTTAAGATAGCCTTTAGTGAAACTATCTCTCTTTTTAAGGTGTCGTTTCTCATTCAGGGAAGATGTTTATACTTAAAGAATACTTTATTTGTTACACAGAACATGTTTGTGTTTAACGGGAAATGCAAAAATAAAACATAAGAAACCAGGAGAGGCGAACACACTGAATCTCAGACAGACATGATAGACATATGAACTGAAGTGACTGACACAAAGCTTTTGTCACTACTGTACTATACACAAGGGAGTAAAACACATACTACAGCTTGTTAGCAGCTCCTTGTTCTATCAGAAAAATAGTTTGTAGTTAATTGTTTCATTTAGTTATTGTTCTGTTTATGAGGTGTATAAAACTCAGAGTTTGGCATGTCTTATCATGACCTTACAAAAACTATACAAGGGTTAGTCAAAAAAAGTTCCAAGACAGAATTTGTCATTTTAAACGTGTTAAGAAATGTCTCTGAAGCATCTTTAACAGCATTGACAATTTTTTATCATTATATCCATGTCAAGTTGTCGTAGCAATTTGTTACATTTTATTTGATTAGGTCTATTAACGTGGTAAAAATGAACACTGAAATTGAAATAATTTTAATCTAATAATCTTTGCAATGGGTTCTGATCTGGTTTGTTTTAATTCTTAAAAAAAAAATTCTCAAATTTTTTTCTCGAGAAATTTTGAGAGGAACCTAATATTAGTCTTGGGAAAAGGCAAAAAAGCAGGCTATGATCCAGAATTCTACAAAGAAGGAATTTTCTAGTGGAAAGTCTTTTTGCACATGTGAGAAATAGCTTTGTTATTGTCATGACCAAAGTTCCCCCCCCCCCCATTTGTCTCATAGCCTTTTGACTTCCTCTTAATCAATCCTCTACTGCCTGACACTCGTAGTGAGGACTTAAGCAACCGCCTCCGATCTGCCCTGATAAGCGGCACATATCGGTTACTGCCTCATACAAAAAGGGCAACTATGTTGGACATATGTAAATATTTATACTGTCTCCGTTAATAGAAATCTAGCAAAAATATCCTATCATTCATTTTCAAGAAACATTCAAAGACATTCTAGCAATATTTGAAGACACTTTGAAAGTTAAATTTCATTATGGAGAGTTCGGAACTCACCCTTGCAATACTTACCAGCCAAAATAAAATAGTAGAATATTTACACAGACAGCAGTTACGTTACATTACAGTTACTTTACAGTGTATTGCAACATGAGTGGAACTAAACAGACAAAACGGCTTGCCATAAAGTGAGGATTAAGACCTTGGCCATCATCTTACATCAAAGTGACAAAGTGAACATGAACATAACCAGGAAAAGATAGTTTATATTCACATTTTAGCCAACTGCACCTGATTGTTTTTGTTGTTGTTGTTGTTTTAAACTTGGCTTTTCAAAATAGGATGAGAAGAACCATTGTGACAAAAACTGTTAATGCTCACTCATCATGACAACTCAAAGCTGTTGTGCAGTTCATTATGCAACAATTTCATGGTAATTTATATGTAACTTGTGTATGGCTTTTGTTCTTGGGCATTATAATACAGAAAAGTATTTCAGCCAAAACATATCTGGACCTAACAGCAAGGCACCTGTACAGACCCCTCTGTGCCCTTGGTTAACACTGCTATTAACTTTTTCTTCATTTACATACAATACTCAATATATACACACACAGCAGCAGCACAGCATGTCCTTCTTGACCCGCAACCATCAGTCGAATGCAGCATTTGGACAAGTGGTTAAAATGAGACATATATTAATTATTATATTAGATTTTTTTCAGAGAAGGATGGGTTGATAATAGATTTTAAAAAAGTTATTTGATCTGAGCTAAATAATCTGATTGTTCTGATTTTTAGGTTTTCCCTTTTGGATGTGTTATTATAACTTGACTGGTGCATTCCTTAGCTATTATTACTCTTATACTATTAGTATTTGAAAATATAAATGCTAATATCATTTTTTTTATTTGGAAACCTAATTCTCTATATTTGAACTGTACTGTAAATGTACTGTGCTTTGGTATGGAACTTTAATTTTGTAGTACCCCTGTCCGACCACTGAACGGCAGACATGAGCCGTAAATCTCATGATTCTGATTTTTTTTTTTTTTTTTAATTTGAACATCATGTGCAACAATACAGCCAATGTTCGCAATCAGAAGGGTTTCTGACATAAAGGAGTAAAAATGTGTACCAGAAACTGTCTCAGAGTAAGGTTAGTTAATTTACTTCAGATGTTGGTCCAAACGTTGGTCTAATGCTTCCTTCATGTATCTCTCAGGTTGTCCTCAGGCCATTTTGAAAAGTCTCAAGATTGAGTGTGGTTTCACCAGAAGGCTTTGATTGTTCACAAAGTCCCATGTTTGATTCATTTTGACTCTTTTGTGAGCAGATGTCTACAGTTAGTGTCACAGAGTTAGTGTCAGACAGTGCAATTCTGTTGCTCTTTTTGATTGAACACACAAACATCTCAACTGGCAAATTTCTGGATAAGCTATAGACCTTGACAAAGAAGAAATGTCTATAAGAGTAGTTAGAAATAGTTAAAGACCAGAGGGGCTCATTCATCTTAAAGCCACTTCTGTTTATGAGGCAGGACATGTAGAAATGTGGAGACTTGCACTTTCGTTTATGTTTCTGGCTATCTGATTGTGGGTCAACAGTCAATTTCTGGCTGGTAAAAATTTGGTCCTTGACGCACACGTGTGCAAGTATGTCTCCAGCTTCCAAAAATGCCAATTCCTTTTTATTGAAGTACATTTTTCTGATAATCTTCAAGGCATGGAATTCAAATGTTAACACAGTTGAGAACACAGTTCTCTGTCTTTGTCAGCTCTAAAACTTTGGTCTCAGTTACCTACCAGGTTTATCTCACAGCAGTTGACTGATGAACATGCTATATTAGATTAATGAGAGAACAGTAACAATAACGAACAAATAAAAGAATGAAATGAAAAAGAAACTAACTAAGAGTGAAGGTTAAAATGCATCTGACTGAACTGAAGAGCAGGTGTTTGTCGCGTTTGTTGAGACTCACTACACGGTGCAGATTGTCAGGTGAGCAGTGAAGCCCACACAGTTCCATAGGAGTGTTGTAAGCATTATGAAAATGGCAGCAGAGCATTAACTGGGGCTTCAAATGATAACTTGTACTCCAGTGATATTGTCCACGTTCAACTACAATGTAATTTGGGATGCAACCCACTTCTCAGCGTTCATTAATGTCCCAACAAGGAAAACTGTTCCAGTGCAGGGCTGCATTTACTGTCCCACTCTGCTACAAGTGATATATAAGAAGAGGTAATGACGAATTGGTCAAGAGGGAGGGGGGGGCCGTAGAGTTTTGCACTTCATCTCATCCAAGCTTTTCCAGTACTTGTAGTTCTCTGACAGGTGCTCCATGAGACCAGGCAGGCTGGCAAAGGCTTTAGGAAAACACAAAAAAGATTTACAGAAAATGAGATTTAAATAAACAGGTTTTTCACATATCAAGTAGGGCTTTTTAATGCAAGTAAAACTGCATCACGTACGAACTGCAGGTTAAAATCAGTGACGTTTCAAAATTCCTCCTCTGTGCTACATCTGATATGCTCGCTGTGGACAAAAGGTAGAAATCCTGGAGGAAACCTATGCATGCTCAATGACAACAAACTCCCAGCAGAATAAGACCATTGATCTGAGCCAAGACTTTAAGGTTCCAACCTTTTTTAGTATAATACTTTTTAGTATTATTATTAGTATATCATTATCTGACCACAAAGTTGACTTTGACTTTTTGAATTCTGAAACTGGAAAGTACAACTATATTACCTAATAGGTTATTACGGAACAAAATGCAATGGTGGTTTGGAGTGTTTTTTTTTAAGTTGGATTTTTTTAAATCCAAAGCTGACATTTTATAATTAATAAGTAAATGCCGGCTATATAGATGTGTGTTGTATGTGTGGTCTTGTCATTTGAGCATGATTAACATGCTGCTATTATAAGAAAGCTTGTTGAGTTTTTTTTTTTCTTCGAACGCGTGGGGAATTAGGGTTGTGTCAACCCAGTTGGGATAAAGATGGGGGGTTTAGCGGCCAAAAAAATGTGGGAACCGCTTGGTTACCATAAACCACCCACAGAAAAAAGCTTAAATTGACTATACACACCTGCCACCAGACTCATACTGTTGTTATTCCACACAAACCATTAAACATCATATATCTTTGTATGAGGTTGTAGTCAAAAAAGAACTTTGAAGTATATCGCTCCCACTCGAAAAAAGGCTTTCAGCCTCTCTTGCCATTTGGCTCACTCTGGCTCAGTTCCTCACACACACATATATGTTGGTCTTCTGAGTGTTCTTGTTAAACATCACGTGTGCACTTAGTATTATTTACATCATCATTTCCTTGAGGCCAACCCACTCTTCATCTCACAAGCTAACACTGACCCAACCATGACCTAACAGTGACCCTGGTAAATAAAAAACTGTTGCATGTGTTTTTATGTTTATGTGCAAGTCAAGTTTGGCTTGACTGCTCATCCTTCCCCAAACTCTGCAGTCATAAACCCAGATTCCCTCTATTTTCCCAACTTCCCTTCCCCTGACGCCCTCTTAGTTTTGCTCCATCCCACTGGCATTAGGAATCTTTCCGTGACATCAGAGCAGTGTTGACAGTAAACAAGTTCACTCTTGGGAAGACTAAACTAGAAGGGAAAATCAGTGGGAATGGGGAGCTACATGATGCATGTTTTTCATCATCCTCAACACATTTCTGTCACTTTCTTTTTTGCATTCTGTCAAAAAATATGCCCTCTGGGCCATGTTTGAAATCTATATTTTAGGATTTTAAAATCATGGCTGTAATAGGCATTACATCTTGGAATAGGCCAAGTAAGACTGACGGTTGTCGTTCATGTAACATTATGGGTGGTTCATCAACTTGGCTTGGAATTTGCAAGCAAGGATGATACCCTGGTCTGAGAGCACTATTAAGGATACAGAGTCTATAAAGTGTATATTTATGTATAAAAGCTTTAGGTCTAAGAGTTAGTAAGTAGTTACTAACAGTTGTAACTCATGATCTTTGGAAGAATTGGGGCAAATTTCTATCAGGCCCTTGTGTTATCTAGGTCAGTCCGGTTCCTTTGGGATACAGCTGTTGATACTAAATTTACGAGAGCGTTCCCAGACTAAACAGGGTGTATGAATTTGAAATAGTTCTCAGTGGACATGGTCAAAAGCTGAGGGAGACAGGAATCAGACTGCATGGCAAAACTGTACAGTAGGTGCTTTATTGACAAAACATGCAAGCCAGGGGCCTTGCGTTGAAAGATTGAGTGCTCTTGTCGTGAGGCAAGATAACCAATTTGTTCCCTAGAAACTGATGGCCTACCTGTATGGAGCAGTTTAGCCCAGTATGGGTACTCCAGATGCCTCCCTCAGTTTAAAAAAACATGCAGGATTAGGTTATTTGGTCACTTTAAATTATGAGGACGCAAGTGTATCTGTATGTGGCCCCGAACTGACTATTGAACTGTTGAGCTTGTACCCTGCCTTGTTGTCTACTTCTGGGATTTGCTCCTGATAGACTAAGGTGGTTTATGGACATATGCTAGTTTACCTGAAATAGAACTCAAAAAAGAAAGTAAATGAAAAATATTTTAAAAAGAGATGCAAATTGTAACATGAGAAGTGCAACAAAAAATACAGTTCTTACCATCCCAGGCATCAAACATATCTGTGATAAAATAGTCTATGAAGGAGATTTGAGATTTAGGAACGCTGCAGGTGTTTCGGTCAAACACAGGCATCACCACTGGTAGCCCTTGCCTTTTCTCCTCATCTGTCTGCAGGACAAAAGTGACAAGACCACAGTAAAGTCACAAGAAGGATCATAGAAGAATACTCAAGTCCCCAGAGAAATGGTTAAAGGCCAAATTTTCAAAGCGTTTCACACCTGAGCGAAGTACTCCTCTGAGATCCTCCCAGCCCATTCAATGCAGAGCTCCAGTGATCTGCACGGGTTGGCAACATCTGCACATTTTATTAACATCCTCTTTATCAGCAGACGGTTCTCTGGAGAGTTCCTGAAGTTTGCCTGCCCCTCACAATCACTGTTAATACTCTAGTACACATAAATGAAAGAAAAAGAAATGAAAGGATATTGTAATGACTGTAAAAGACAACATTTTACATATAATTTGTGTGTGTTTTTTAGGCGCTTCATGTGGGCTGACAGTCTCCAACTGTCTTTCCTTGTCTTTCTTGGCCATCCTAAAATTTAAGACATGCCTTTAGACAGGCACTGATGTACAGGCAAACTGGAGATATCTGTGAAGGTTCTCGATCATCCAGGTTGTTTATTCAAGTTTACGTGTAGGTACCTGGAGTAGCTCAGGATTCTTGAACATGTTTTACCTCGTATCTGAGAGGCTTCTATTTTTGGAATTGACTTCCAAAAAACCCCTGGTATTTAGCTTTCCAGGAATGAGTATCTGAATAGAGAGGTTGTGATGGTTACATTACTTGCTTCTACTTCATCTATCTCCAACGTGACCACTGTTCTCATCAGCTCTAATTACCATTGCAAAGGACTGTACTTGTGTGCAAAGCTAAAAAGTAATTAGATCCATCTATCCTCCCATCAATTCTTTGTATCCATCCATCATCAGTGTTGATTCAGTGACAAACAAACTGACCTCAGACCACAGAGCATCTCAATTGTTGCCCCTTCATTTTTTGTAATAGTAAACATATTTAATTTTACTTTATAATTCTACAGTGTCCTCTTTAAGTCAAATTTACAGAAGGATATTTTTATTAACAAACTTTTTTTCTTTTTTGATGACTTGGCTATCAATCACATTAATTTTAATTATTTTTTAGATGTTTTCCAAATTAAGTCTAAATATTGTCACAACCATATCTTCAGACATAGTATGAAATAATCACTTTTATTTTGAACTAAAAAAGAAAAAGAGAGACTTACAGTAACACTTGTGCTGGTCTCTTCTATGGCAGCCATTGGTTTGTTGATACTGTTTACAAACTTGCTGACATGCTCAAAGTGCCTTGTCATCTCTGTGGCTAGAACCATGTCAATTATAGCCTGCCGCAGTGTTCGGAACTGTGTCCTGGCAGCAGAAAAGGGCAGAGAGAGGACAAAGTACAGTTTGCATCAGTGTTATAGATCTATGGATAACTGCAGATTTTACACTAACTGCTGGTATGTACCTGTCAATATTCCTAAATATATTGCTTTTGCTGTCTCTGACAGTGAGCTGGAAGGCCAGGGCAGCGTGATGGCTCTCCAACACTGCGGTGTCGTTGTAAAGAATCGCCAGTTCACTCCCCGCATTACATAGGAAAGAGTTGGTCCTGCCCGGGTGATCCACATCATGCACTGTGGCTGCTATCAATGCTGCTACCTCATCCAGCTGGTCCAGACTACTCTGAATAAGACAGCAAAGAAAGATAGTTAGTGTAGTCATTTAGTTGAAATGATCAAAAATAACTGGATATTGTCAAAAATGTCAATATGTGAGGCAAACTTATATTTACCATAGGATACAGTAAGAATTGTTGAACTGCCTTGATTGTGTCTTGGCATTGATCATATAATGCCTAGTGTTTCTTACAAACAGACGTGTGTCTGCACATGTTTCTATGTCTTCCTTGGATGTGTAACCTTGACACCATAACAATAATATGTCTTTGGTCCATCTCAAAGAAGCAATTGGTCCAATGTGGACTGACCTCCCCCTTTAGTTCCTTGACTGCCATAGAGTAGATCCCTAATGAAAATCCACACTTCACCCCATCTTCCAATTGTCATTGAAATGGTTGCGTCAGTAGGGGACTGTATCAGTGATAACTGTGGAGGTTAACCCTTGAATGTGGGCATTAACAGTACTGTAAACGTTTAAACAGCGTTCACTCATTGTATGATGTATGAAGTTGAATTCTGCGACAATAGAACTTTTACAGTGTGTTTGCTGTTCGTTCAGGAATGTCTCCTCCTTTTACCTTCACTCTCTCCTTGCGCAGGAAGTAGGCAGTGGCATGCAGCACATCAGCGGCATGTGTAGAGTTGTGGTAGGAGTTTGATGAGTGGTAGCTGGACTCCATGAGCTGCAGCCAAGAACGTAATGTGGTCTCAGAGCAGCTCAGGAACTCACACACTCCAAAGCTTGTGAAGATCTTTAGCCCGAGGTAAGTTAGTGGTCTGCAGAGTCACAGTGAGGACAGGATTAGGGAGTACAGATTTGTGCAGGGAACCTTTGTTTTAATAAACTTGTCCCAGGGAATTATTTGTTTATACCTCATAAAGATTCTTTTATTTTAAAA